CATTCCAGTGCTGTAGCCATTAACTTAAAGTATATCTGTCACTGGAAGGAGATACATCAGTGGAAAATGAGCATTTTATGGCCACAGGTATTGAAGAAAGAGGGAAACCATTTATAGTAAGGATTGGATAGTGGAGGATTCAAGAGTAAAACCTTTCCTTTCAAGATAGCCATCCTTTTAGTATATGGAACACACTCCCACAATTTGTTTACCTCCATATGCATTCCTATGAAGACATCATATGAAGACAAAACAAAAAATAAAAGTAAAAAAAAGATCTCAGGACTGAACATTTCCATTTGTATTATCTGCTGCTAGGCTGCTGAAGTATTGGAGCCCCTGGCTGGTTTCACTTGCAAATCTCTAAAAAAAGCAATGTCTTTTGTAATGCACAAAACTTGGCTAGGTGAAACAAGACTAGAAAGCAATTAGGAAGTAGAATATGTGAAAATGTAAGCTGTCATACATACAACACAACACTAGGCTTCACCCAGAGACATGAAAATAGCCCATGCTCTTGTCCGAACATATAAAGGTGGGCAGGAGCTTCTACCAATGGGGCTATGGACTTGAAAACTCTCTGCATTGGCTTTCGCTCTTTTCCTCCCATCCAGAATGGACACCAGGCCACATTCAGTGTAATTGCAGCAATTGTGCTTTGCTCACTACACTTTTTCCTCCACAAACCTTTAGTAAGGTCTTTGCTTCTTTACAAAGCCATTTTTGATTTCAATACATTGGCTTAAGTGTTCTCTGTCACCATGGCAGGGTTATTTGCAGGGCAATCTATTTTAAGACAGGCCTGGTTTGCATGGCCATGATGGCTTAATTCTCCTGTCACAACTGTGTGTACGTGTGTGCAGGGGGGATTGGCGTAACTATAACTGCTGACACGACTTCTCACACTGTGTGAACCAGGGAGGGTGCTTGCTTTTGTGCTTAGCAAATTTGCCAAAGCTATGGCTGTTTGAGGGTTCTGAGGTGTGGCCACAGGTCCAAGAATGTTTTTCACGGCACAGAATTTCAGCTTCAGCTAGGGAGAATTATTTTTTATGAATAATACGACTATGAGCATTCAGGGATACAACTGCTGTTTCCCTATGACCAAATATACTCCATACAACACTGGTGCTATCTGATGGACAGAATCAGATGGGATGGCTGGGCCTGGTGTAGAAACTTTGTAAGTAGGAAAAGGCTCTCCCTTTCCCCTGTGGCTCTGTCATTCAGTCATTACGGTTATGACGTTGGATCCAACTACAGGGGAGCAGCAGTCATGTTGAACTGACTCTGCATGAGTAAAAATGAAAGTAAAAATGAGAGCCAGTGTGGTGCAGTGGTTAAGAGCATGGGACTGGGACTCAGACGACCTGGGTTCTAGTCCCCGCTCAGCCATGGAGCCAACTGGGTGACTTTGGGCCAGTCACAGACTCTCAGCCCAACCTACCTCACAGGGTTGTTGTTGTGGGGATAAGATGGAGGAGGGGATTGAGTCCTTTGTAGGAAAAAGGCAGGGTATAAATCCAGTAAATAAATAAATAAATAAAATAAAGATACAGGGAAATCCTTTAAAATACACTCTTAGCAGTCAAAGCACACACAAGGCTACCAGTGTAATGTATTCCTGGTGTCCCACCACATGACTGAGATACTGTGACTAAAGCCTCTAAATAGTCTTCAAGGACAGTCTTACATAGCAATATGAGTTTACAAAGGCACAAATGACATCTGCTGAGCCCAAATTTGGTACGGCATCACATTTCACACTTTTTGAAAAAAAGTTATTTTTTAAGCAGCAGCACTCATTTCATCAGACCCTTCCCTTATCCAAGAAAAGAGCAATCCCACATCGAATGGAAGGAAAGTTCTTCCTTGCATTGAAGGCACAGCCTCGGTATTGCTCAGCTAAAGAACATCACAATGACCATGTACAATGTCTTTTCACAAGCCATTTGTTACTTGACCATCTGTATGCCTCAGAATCTCTATATCTCTGGCATAACTATTTTTGTAGAGCAGGAGCTTTGCAAGCTATTTCCTACTACTCCTTTTGCTACGCTGTGGAAATATAATAATTCTTCATAGCAAATTTTAACTCTTAATTTTTAATAGGTAATAAAAATAAAAATAATAAATAAATAATAATAATAAATAAATAATAAATAAAAATAAAAAATAAAAAAAATAAAAACACAAAGATGTATACAAGAATTAAAATAACACAGGATATCCCTTTTAATTCTTAGTGTAATCTTAAATTGCTGTGGGCATGTAATTGTGCCCAACTAAGGCACAAAACTGTGAGCTTCTTAAGTTTCACTTTTGCTACACTGAACAGTAAGACAATTTTAAAGGCTACCATATCTTACGTCTACAGAGTACTGCAGCAAAAGGAATGATGAGAAGTATTTCATATCAGAAAACACATGCATGTTTGCATGCAATTACATCACTGTACACTGTTGTTGTTGTTTTTTTTAAATTAAACTCCCACCTCCAGATTCCAGAGTAAAAATCATGAACTTGGAGAAGAATCTCTACTTGATCTCTGGACAGGTTGCCATATAAAAGTCTGCAGCAGAAAAAATGCCCAAGAATGTAATCCTAAGCATGGCTCTTCAGAAGTAAGCCCCATTACTTAAGTTCAATGCGAATTATCCCAGGTAAATGTTACAGGATTACAGTCTTAAGTCTTCTACAGGCTTAAAGCATAGGTAGGCAACATGTAGCCTTCCAGACGTTTTAGTTTGGAACTCAGCCATAGTCAGCATAGCCAGGGGTAAAGGATGATGGGAATCCAAGGCCAAAACAGTTGGAGAGCCACACATGTTGCCCACCTCGGTTTAAAGACTAGCGACTGAGCTTTCGTGGACCTGATCTGCAAACATGCACGGAAAGGGTCAGTGGGAAAAAACTATGATGTTACCATTCCAAGCATACCATTAACTTGCGTGTCCAACAAGTGGTTGAAAGGGTACCTGATCCAGATTGGGTCGCATTCGGTCATCCCCGCTTTATGACTACCCTCTCAAAAGTTGGTTAAATGTGTCACACTGTCACAGACCCACAACTTCCATTCTTGCCGCTCAAGCATGCACCTGCGGATGCTCTTCGCCTGCCTTAGCCACAGGCTGCATCTTGCACCGCCCGCTTCCTCCCCACTTCTCCCTTTCTACCCGGAATCGGAGTAGGAAGAAGCAAGAGTAAAAACCGCAGCTGAACCCCCGCGCTTCCTCAGTGCGTTTTACGCATGTGCCCAGACTTCGCACCAAAGCGACTCGCCCGCCGAGTCCCGGTAAGGCCGTGCCGTCCCCGTTGCAGGCCTTGCGCATGCGCTCCCCTTCCCTTTGTAAAAGCCTTGCGGGGTGGAGCTGGCGGAGGACGTCATTCTTCGCGGCTCCGCCTTCCTCCTGCGGGGAGCGTCTCGGCCTGTGGTGGGGCGGGAGCCGCGCTTGAGGCGGGGAAGGGACGCCGTTCGGCAGCCACAGAGGTGGGTGATGGAGGAGGCGCGCTTCGAGGGGGCGGGCGCAGCTCGGGCGGCGGCGGGCATGGCACTGAGGGGAGCCCTCCTTCCCTGGGTGGCAGCAGGGCAGGGGGAGAGTAGCGGGCGGGCGCGTCTTCCCAGCCCCTTCGGGGATGGAGAGCGGCTGGGGGGTGTACATGAAGAGACGGGGCCCGTGCCTGACCCTTCAGAGAGTGGGGTCTGCATCCGAGCGTGCCGCCACCCTGGTTCCCCAAAGCGAAGCTTGTCGCGGGTCATGCCCTGGTTTTGTTTGTCTCAGAGTTCCTTTTGTCGAAGAGGAGTAACTCTGCGTGTGTTCAGAGGCACTTTTTATTATATTTCCGATATTCCTGATAGACGCGCCCTCAGCCTTGGCACTCTTACCGCACCCTTTCATACAGGGATTGGGGCCCCACCTCTAGGAATCTACAGGGCATTTCTGTAGACAAGCCTTTCGCAGGCAGTGCTCTCCAGATGTTCTGGATTACAGTTCTTGGAGCACCAAATTGGAAGAGGCTGTCATACATGGTCAAACATATGTTAAGATTTGATTTGCAGTTCCGATGTTCAGTGGATGTTCTGCTTCTGCTATGTTAAGTAATAGTTAGAGATGCAGGAAGATAAAATGCTGAATCTCAGACAAATCTTTTGAGCTGTAAAGAAACTTTTATTCTGTTGCTGCCCTCCAGATGCTTTGGACTACAGTGCCTAATCTGGCCAATGGTAAGAGCTTATGCTTCTGGCAAGAACTAGTCTTTCTACCCTAATCCAGACAGCAGTGCTTTAATGGGAGCAGAGGAATTTTTCAGAAATTGTGTATAGCTAGAGTTTGCCAACTTGGTGCCTTCCAGATGTGTTGGCCTAAACTCTCATAATTCCTAACCAACATAGCCATAGAAATTGCAGTCCAACAAATCTGGGGGAGCACCATATTGCTCCACAAAGTTATGTAATTCATGGTTATCTTGTGGGCCATCTGCTGTAGTGTTTGGAAGCTCTTCAGGAACACACCATGGCACCATCCCCTCTGGTTGTATGTCCCCAGCATGGCCCCAGTGTGTATTATTCAGAGGTATAGTACCTTTTTACTTGAAGGAGCAGTGGATTTTATTTTTATTTATTTATTTATTTTCCAATGTATATCCTGCCTTTTTCCTACAAAGGGATCAAGGCAGCTTACATCTCCTCCTTCATCTTATCCCCACAATAACAACCCTGTGAGGTAGGTTGGGCTGAGAGTCTGTGACTGGCCCAGAGTCACCCAGTTGGCTCCATGGCCGAGCAGGGACTAGAACCTTGATAATCTTAACCACTACACTACACTGGATTGACGTTCTTATTCTGTGAGTTATCAGTACCTTGCTCTGAACGGAGCCCTTTTCAACATTAATCTTGACAGAGTTTTTAAAAAACAGTTTCCCATGGAGCTGCTATTCCAAATTATGTAAGTCAGATATAATTTTGTGTTTTACCTAGGGTGACTGTATCTTATTATCTGAATAATGGTTTCATGTATTTTGTTTGCATTCAAACATTGTTTCATCTAGCATACCTGTTCCTTAAACAGAGAAATTTGTTTGACCTTTGGAGATATCCATTCCTATTAACTTTTCCCCACTCTGTGTGTACATATACTGGTATTTCAGGAAACACTTCATGTATCTGAGGAAGTGGACTGTAATCGACAAGGGTTTGTGCCATACTGAATGCATTAGCCTTAAAGATGCCTGAAGGCTATAGTTCCCCCCCACTCCCCTTGCAATAGACTACTAGAAGCAGCTCTTCGGAAATTTTTGCAAAAAATGGTGTCACTCCTTACCCACAAATGTTTGGCCAGGCTTCTTCTCTTTAATTTCCTCTAAAACTGTAGTAGGGGATTTTGAAGGGTGGTTCTTTTTGTAGTTCTGAGATAATATACCTTTTGGAAAGTATGTGTATGAATGCATGTTGTATAACCAGACAGTTGTGGACTTTCTAATTTCTAGGTGTCATACAAGAGCCCTTGTTTTGGGGTAGCATTTCTCCAAGTAGACAAACTTGCAATCCTTTACACCCCAAAGAGTACTGAAGAGTAAAGATGTACCAAGAGAGGATGATCTAGAGTTTCTTGGTCTATGATCATGGCAATTTTGTGGTATAGTGGTCAGACTACTCGAGTGGGACTGAAGAGATTGGGGTTCAGGTCCCCAGGAGGAGGAGGAGGCAGTGGTGGCATCCTGCCTTGGACTTCTTACAAAAGGAAAAAGGATGAGCTAGAATCATGATAATAAATAATAGTAATAACTTAATAAAGCTTTGCATTGACTATATGTCAATGCAATGGAAGGAGAATGTCTAATATCCAGATATAAAAACCTAAGGCTCATAAAGTATAGAGTATTTATTCAATAGTAAACTGACATATTTTTCAATAGCATATTTTTTTCTGGTATTTTTCCCTAGAAGTGTGATTGACATTGCAGTGTGTAATATAAAATTTAAAGCAATAAATCCTACTCTTAGAAATACATTTTTATCACAGTCCTAATTAATTAATATCAAAAGGACTGTTTAGAAGACTTCCACCTATCCCTCTCAGTACTGATGTTGTAACGTAATTAGGGAGCTAATAAGGGAATCAAAGCCTGCCTAACTATAAAGTAGGAAAAATACACCGTTTAGCCTCTTCATGATCAAAGTAGAAGGCCATATCCTGTATGGGATAAACAACCTTCCTTCTTTGCTCTTGAAAAGTCTGCAATTGAGCCACTATTTGAAACTATGATGCATTCCCTCTAATACTTCAGCTTCATTTCCAGTGAGTCCCAGTGACTGCTGGTCAGTGTCTCTTATCAAAGATTATTTTTAGTAGCTTGTAGATTGAAAGCAGAGATAACTCATGGTTGGTGCCTTTAAAACAGCATCTGTTTTCTTGAAATGATGTGCAAATCCTTTATTTCACAAAGAGAAGGCATCCAGAACTCTGAAGGTCCTAGATGTGTCATGGCTATTTTAAAGGGCAGGGATAATTCTGCTGCTTTCCTTTTTTCCAGATGTCTAATGTGATGGGACACAACAATATTTCAGAACTGAAAAGTTTCCCTTGTTCCATTAAGGTAAGGTATGAAGAATGCCCTATTAATGCTTTGAGTTCATGGACTGTTCAATATTGCTTGGTACATTCATTTCCAAAGTCAATTTTGTTTACAAACATACAGCTGTAATAAGCCTTTGGAGAAGGGTTACTTTATTTCATTGGCAGTTGCCAGCTCTTCAGAAAGGAGGTTTCCAAGAGAGTTCCAGGATTTGAAAGGTCTCATGTATAAGTTAGGTCAGGAAACAAGGCTGCTATGCAAGACTGCTTTTTTCAAAGCACTGTGAGCTGCCATTCCCCCAAATGAAACTTCTTCAGGAAGTCACCGATCGCTGCTCCAGCCCTGAAGAGTGAATCCCAAACAAAATCTGCGTATTTTTTCCTTTAGGAAGATGGTTGAAAAAGAAGAACCTGTTGCTCTGCTGCAGCTCCATTACTTTTAAACACTCTGTATCATTCTGTCTACTTTTTGGTAGAATTTTGGCTTTATTATTTCTTTTGTTTTTCATTACATGAAAAACAAAAAACACTGTGCTTCTCAAAACAAAACACTGTTTCAAGAAAAATGTTATCAAGTCCTCATTTAGTTGTACTTACTTCAAGTTACAGAAATTGAATTTCTTCCATCTTTTTCATGTCTTGTTTTTGGATTGCTAAGCGTGTTTATTTAATTCCAGTCAGTTGGTCTCTGTTTTAAGTGTGGTGACCTGAACTGAATTTACTATTCTAGCAGAGGCCTTGCTACACCAAATAAAGTGGAAGAAACAATTGTTGTGTCTTCCACATATAATATTCCTGTCAGTGCAATGTACTGTGGTATTGGCTTTCTTTGCAATGGAATTACATTGCTGATTCATATATAACTTGTCGACTATAAATACCAATTATTTTCAATAGAATTACTAGCCTTTTGGCACATGCCATTTTTGGGATACAGTGCAATGCTGTTGTAAGTACAACCTGCTTATCTCTTTCATGGATTTTGTAACAGGGCAAAAATCTGCACACACTGTGACCAGATTGCCAAATAATTTGGAGAAATCTGATAACGGGGGGGGGGGGGGGGCGTTTGGTAGCATAAAGAAATAGAAAATAAAGTGACTTTAAATATATAATAATAATCCAAGAATCAACAAGTGGCAAGTGCAGAAAGCCTTGGTACCATTGTGCAAAGCTTGTTCTTTTTCAGTAGAGTATAGCTCAAACATTCCGGAAAGCGTCTGATAGGGTTTCAGGAAGGAGAGTTTTGTTCTTAGAAAGTAGGCAAGTAAACATAAAGAGTTGTAGGAGGAAGAATACTTGATCATGCCCCCACCCTCTCAAGCTCAAAAGCACACTTCCAGGTATTAAGAAGCTGACAATAGATAATTCTCTTCACAACAGCAGGATAATGCCACCTTGAGAATAACTTTCCCTTGTCTAACTTACAGCTGTATCTCAAATCCTTGCTGGGTTTCTGTTCTCTTTGACACTTACGTATTCATAAGTTTCATACAGTGTGCCTTTCCAAACTGTTTTCTGGTGATTTTTCTGCTCAGCTCTGCTGATCTTGCACCAGTTAGCATGGTAGCAGAAAAGGTGTGGTAGAATGATTGCAAAAGAGGGACTTTTTCCAAGAACAAACTGGTTAATGCTGAAACAACAGGGAAAGGCTGGGGTGCCAGAGCTCTGAAAACTCCCACTGCATTGTCTGTCATTGTTATACTTCAGTGCAAATGGGTTAGGTGGGGAGTATGGTAGGAAAATGTTCTAGAGGTATGTGAATGAGGGAGAAAGAACAATGGTAGCGATATGCTTCTGCCAACAGGATAGCATTACTACTGTTCACCGCTGTTGGCTTTATGCTGTAATTGGTGGAGAAACCTGCAATTAAAATAATTGTAATGTTATAATAATTGCAATAAGTAAATTGTCTTCACTTTCTATTCTCCATCTCACCCCTTTCTTCTACCCTCTTCTCTTATGAATTGGCCATTTCTTCCTCTTTCTCCCACAACTGCTGCTAAGAAATAGCTTCTAAGCTTAATAAATGATGGCAAAGATTGTTTTAAAATTGTATTTATTTTAGATTTATTAACTGCTCCCTACAGGGTTCTCTTGGTCGTGCACAGTATATTACAGATGTTTTAAAAGAAACAGATAACACTGATGAATAGCAATGCTGATACTATCTTTTCCTTTTTCCTTCCAGTGAGATAGGGACTGTTAGCAATGTGACGTGAAAAACTGTTTCTCAGTCAGTAATTCTATACTCACTTGCTGGGAGTGTCTCACTGAACTCAGTGAGTGTTACTTATGAGAAGACATAAGTAGTATAATGCTGTAAGTGAATGAACAGAAGTCTTTAATATGCCACAGGATTGCTTGTTCTTGAAAAGCTTTTCATTGTTCTTTTACTTTTGCAGTAAAATGTGCAGGACAGGGAATTAAAAGGCAGGCAAGTCACTGGCCCAAATACATGCTTCCACTATTTTGATCATTTTATATTGGAAAACATTTTATAGATTTTGATTGTTTTTTTTTTCCTTGAAATTAACTGTTATATTTTTTAAAAAAAGAAATTTCTCTTAAGTTTGGAAGGACCAAATTGTAATAAAACTATTGTTGTCATGCCAGCTTGGAAATAATAGGTGATGTTGTTGATAGTGTTGAATCAGGTGCATTAGGCAGCACGCTAGCTAACAGGAAATATTGGTTGGCTACCATGTATGGCCACAGTTGGCAGACTCTTGCTATTAAGGGATAACTATTCTTTGGACTGCAGGTGGCGCAGTGGTTTAAACCGCTGTGCTGCTGGGCTGGTTGATCGAAAGGTCGCCAGTTCGAATCTGCACAACGGGGTGAGTTCCCGTTGCTCTGTCCCAGCTCCTGCCAACCTTGCAGTTCGAAAGCGTGCAAAAGCAAGTAGATAAAAAGGTACCACTTCGGTGGGCAGGTAACAGTGTTCCGTGCACTTCGGTGTTCAGTCATGCCGGCCACATGACCATGGAGACTGTCTGAGGACAAACGCTGGCTCCCTTGGCCAGGAAACGGAGATGAGCACCGCCCCCTAGAGTCAGGCATGCCTGGACGTAACATCAGGGGAAACCTTTACCTTTATTCTTTGGACTGATACTGTTGTGCCTTTTTTACATGCTCTCATTATCAGTGTAGAGATTGATTCAGCTTTTTTTGTGGTTTATGGCTTATGGACATATATCTGTTTTTTTCATCCCATAATAGTTTTTTTGCAGAATTTTTAATAGAATTTTCTTTAGTTCTTGTTTTAGCTTCAGTCTGTTTTCTTGTACTTGTTGGCAATTTTTCATTCCGTCTTTGTTTGGAAGATGCAGTGAATTTAAACTGGCTTATTAATTAAACATGCATAATTCTGCTTGCTTATGGTGAACAAGAAGAGCAAGGTAGTAAACATTCACAAGAATTGGTGCTCCTTCTGGACCACAAAGGCCATGTCAGTTTTCTTGGTTGTAACTTTGGGGTGACCTTCAAGATCAGTCTAAAATATCATTCTTTGGAATAAGCCATCAGAGCTAGTTTCCTCTCAGGGCATAGTGTCCTTGCTTAATTACTTAAAGCCAATATGCGTGAAGACAAATGACATATGTCTATGAATATATTTTCAAGTAGGTTTTGTAATGATAAAATATGGAGTACATACTCTATATACATAAGAGGCTACCTTGGGGGAAAAATGTTCAGTATACTTAAAAGACTCTCCACAAATCTAGTATAATTCTGTTGAGTAAGTTATGGTATCTCTTAATCCAAATATTTTTTTTAAAACCCTTTCTCTGGAAAGTTCTGTAATTTTATTAGGCAAGAAGACAAATCCCAGATCTTTAAATTGGGCAGATTAGTGCTGACTGCACAAGATACTTTATTCACAGGTGGAGAAAGTTTAAGATCTAGTAAACTTCCATGTTTAAAATAGCTCAGTGGAGGCATTGCTACCTAACCTGTTAAACAAAATCAACATGTCCAACTACTTTTACTGGCTTTGTGTATACAGTTTTTTTTTTAAATGCTGCCAAATGAATTGCTTTGAACCAGCCAGAGTGCTTTGGTTACTGGGCAGTGTAGAAATGAAAATGATGAATAAGGAAAAGGAGTTTTTCATAATCAAAAAGCATGATTCTTTTTAAAGAATTGTTTCTAAACAATACCATGTATTAACTTCCTAACTTTTTTATATTGCACGAAAATGGAGCACACATGTAGCAGCAGCTATTGTGAACATTGCTGCTGCTAGCAGAGGAGGGGCTGGGTCATGTGGTGCCCAAGCAAAGGTTGGTACAACATACAGCCTTGGACCACCTGTGGCCCCTGAGGCCTTTTTCTGTGGCCCTCTTGCCACTTGGAGCTGCCCTGATTTCCCCTCAGTCCAGATCCATGTCCCATTGCACTAGCCCCATTGAGCAGGGGTCGTCAAACTTTTCCGCTGGGGGCCAGCTGAAAGGTGCCGGTGCTGGGTGTGGGCCGAAAAGGTGTGCTGGCAGTGCATGCAGGCCGGGGTCGGCATGTGTGGGGGTGCGCACTGAGGCGAGCACACGAGGCAGCGGCTTGCTTGCATGGAGCTCGTTTTCTCCGAGTGAGCAAACTGCTGCCACCCCATGCGCGGGGTGGTCCAAATGGGCATGGCAGGCCGGATCCGGCCCCCGGGACGTAGTTTGAAGACCCATTTTCTTGAGGCATATAGTAAACACGTTGATTTATGATATGGAAATGTAATTCATTGTGCAGCCTCCAAGATCTGTGTCGAAGTTCTCATGTGCCCCCTGAGGTACAAAATTTGGCCCACCCTGCCTTAGCAGTATGTTGTCTGACTGCTGCATAATTTTTGATAATAGGCTAAGTGCTGGGTGTTATGCCGTAAAAAGCACAACCCCTTTTTCCTTTAGCCAAACCTAAAAAAGCAAAATGTATTTCATGCATTTTGCAGCATCTGTTCTGCAACATTTTCTTACTTCTGCACATTATTTAAACACACTTAGTATCTCTTCCAGTCTCTTTCAACCCACAGAGGATCATATTGGGCAATAAGTGTGAACATTATAGATCTAGATTCTTACATCAACAGGAACGCAAAATGCTGCTTTATCTGTTCCTTCATATTGGCTTTCCAGAAATCTTCAGGAATCTTTGTAGAGAATCCCACTTGTTGAGGACAGTGTACCTGTGTTACTTAGTAGATACACATGAATAGTATAAGAGCTTCAGAAACTGAGAGGGAAGTAGGTGAAAAGACATACTTATTATGAATATTTTGCCTCCCTAACCAAGATTGAATAGTTATTTTTACTTTCTATCTTTGGGATACTCAGAGAACTCAGTACCTCAAATATGTAACATAAATATTGCCTACCCTTATGAATATATAGGACTTATCTAGATGAGGATTTTAACCTGCTGCTTTACTGAGGCTTCTTCTGTTTTCATTGAAAAGTGTGCCTTTTGCTTGGTAATTTTTCTGCCTTTCTGTATATTCTGTTAACCAACCAAAAGGTGGTCCTGTGGTATAGTGGAATTGCAACTTTACCGGCAGCTTTCATTCTGGTTTGCTTCAGTTTGAAAATTAATATTTAACTTTCCTCGTTCTAAAAAACCCTGTGAAAATGGCTGAAAAATGCAAGGGACCTTGGAGGAGGACGACATCATGAAAAGGCCCTGCAAGCTTTAGTGAGGGATCATAAGAGCAGAATAAATTCCTCATGTAGAGAAGCCCCTAGCATTCACATTCATTCGGTAGCATTCATTCATTATGAAGTAGGTCTTGGATGGTACTTGCCCTATTGTATTAATTTTATCCACGGTCCCAACTATGTGTCTGGTGCCATATGTAGAGTTTCATGGTCATAAGTAGACAGGGTCTTCCTCCCAAGAAACTTAGCACCTCATGCAGGTGTTGGGGAAAGCAATGCGGGGGGCGGGGGGACTGTGTTGTGATGTGAGCCTGCTGTGTGTGTGTGTGTGTGTGTGTGTGTGTGTGAGAGAGAGAGAGAGAGAGAGAGAGAGAACACAGCTGCAAAAATGGGATATACTTTCTTGTGTGTGTGTGTGTGTGTGTGTGTGTGTGTGTTAATGAATGAGTGGTCAGCTTTTGCCTTTTGTTACATCTCCCTGTATAGGGCGGAGTGAGCATTTCCTAGTTGTCAAACTAAATAGGTTTTTAAAACTTACAGCTGCAGAACAGTCCTTCATCGAGTCCATTTGTGAGTGAAATGTGTTCCAAGGCTGCTCCAACTCTCTTTGCAGTGAAGCCAAGTCACCATAGCTCAGGTATCTGCTTTCACTATTAAACTGCTATGCTTGCATCTATTTATTTGGTGCACTGTCCTGTTGAATATGGGTGGTACTCCTGTGCTCAGAATCCTTATCCCTATGGGTAAAGATATAAGTTAACTTCATAGTGCTAGCTTATTTGCTGAACGTTAGCTGCTAAGCACTGCTTCACTGTATTTTCAACCTCATGTTATGATTATCCTCATATCCTCTAACCTTGATTTCCCCCAAATAGGCATTTCTTTTCTGGACATCTGCCCTCTTAATTGTTCAGGTTTTTTGAATTAATTTATTAATTGTAAACATTTCTAAGCTTCATAGACAGATTTTTGGAATTCTTAAATAATAACAGCTTCCTATAGGTATATAATTTTAAGTGATTTCATAATATTCATCCATTCTTATTCTTTCTTACCAATATAAAATATATTCCTTGTGATCATTTAGCAAAGGAGACCCTGTTACAAAGGTGAGCAACCGCAACTACCTAGGATAGCCTTCTGGTGCCCTCCAGATGTTATGGATGACAACTCCCAGTGTTTGTGAAGATTGGTGGGAGTGATTGGGACTGATGGGAATAAAGGACCAACTTGGGGAAGGCTGACACATATCCTAGGAAGATGGTGCAGCATATTCATTAAAATAAGTGAACAGAGCTTGAGAACTTTAACTGTAACTGGTTTACTAGTATAAATTCTGAGCTAGACCATGAAAACTTACTCTTTGAGTAAGTTTTACTCTTCTTGAAGGTGCAACAAGATTATGTTTTGCTGCAACAAATCAACAAGGCTATGCCTCTCAAAACAGGCTGTAGATATTTTGACAATATTTTGAAACTAGTCTTAATATAGAATTACTTCCAAGCTCACAGTGATGTGTTGTGTAAACTATATTTTAGGATAATGAGGGTCAGGAGAGGCTAGAACAATTTCCTGATTAGATTTCCCCTCCCCAGAGAGGTCCGCCTGGCGCTGTCGTTATTTGTTCTTTGGCGCCAGGTGAAGACCTTTTTATTCCAATGTTATTTTAATTGTTAATATTATTTATTCATTTTATTCTTTGGCCAGGGTGACTTAATTTATATTGTTAATTTATATTATTCTATTTTGAAGTTTATTTATGGTTGTGAGCCGCCCTGAGGCTTTGGTGAATGGGGCAGCATAGAAGTCTCCTAAATAAATAAATAAATAAATAAATAAATAAATAAGGCTTACCCAGAAACATTTGATGGCCATAGTTCCTATAGAAAAAACAAAAAAACCAAACCAAAACAATTCCAAAATACAGTGATGGGGTATTGTTTACCTGCTCGTTGCAAAAACATATCCTTAAAGTTTCAGGTCACACAAGGTTATATCTCGAATGTCTGATTACAGACCACAGGAAGAATAAACAGCTAAAGTGACACCTCTTGTATGTCTGCCTGAGTACAAGTCGGAGATGTCAATGAGCGAAGTTATTTCCTGGTGTGAAAAAAAGCATTTGGTTCTTCCTTGTCTGGTGTGTCAGATGTAGAAGAATATAACAGAATTTTAGTATGAGCAATTCTCCAGGCAATGGATATCATATACTAGTTGGGCATGTGCACATAGAAAAAAAAAATCAAATAGTTGAACTGTGGTTACGCAGGATACCTTAAGCTGATTTCTGAGGTGAATAAAATCTTAATTTGCCACAATGGCTATAAGGATGAGAAAGTAATGAGAGAGTTATTATGTACTTCTGTTTGGTTAATGAGTGAGAATGTCTTTTAAATGGTTTAATTTAATCCAAGAAAGCTTCTCTAGCTCTGGCACAGTTTCTACAACACAGTAAGTTTTCTAATCACTAGTTCAGAAGGTGTTAATAGAGATAACATTTTTTAATAGAAATGTTCTAGCTGTTACAAATCCATCCAGCCTTTGTAAGTCTGGCTAAAAGCAGTCAAGGGAGTAGCATTAGATTAAAGCTGTTGCTTCTGTAGCTCACAGTCCTTTTTTCTAGTTACTGAAAATACTATCCATATTTGCTGGTGCATTTTTCAGTATTTATGAACTGATTTAAATAAGTAATGTTTAATGCCTCTATTTTTCTGCAAAAACATGAAGGCCAAATAGTCTTGAAATGTAGGGATAATAGAAGGTATTGGTTAAACCTGTGCATTGGAGGTTTTTATTTGTTTTTCCTACATAATAATTATTATATTATAGAAGGGAAATCATTCTCTTAAATCCTTGTGGTTTAATGCACTACCTAATTAAGGCTTTAATTTCAAGGCAAAGGGCATAATGCAACCAGTAGGTTAGTGGAACAGTGCTTTTTTGCTTGATAAGTCCCCTTAGTTGAGCATAGTGGTCAGACTAAAACCTGCATCAGTGCGTTTAAGGAAAAATGGTATTGGTGATAATGTGAATATGCCATGCATTCTCTTGATTTTGTCAGTATTAACAATTTCATGACAGGATCTAAAGTGTCCCTTCTGTGAATGGAAGCACTCCTTCCATTTTCAGAAGGGACTGAGATCTAGTGCAGGTTCCCTGTATGAAGGGAAGTCACTTTTGCCCATTCTACATGGGTGCCCCTGGGCTCCCTCCCAGATTGTTCTAGCAGATCCACAAACTTTTAGAATAGATTTATAGAGCAAAGTTAGTGGGAAATCAGTCCAAGCCAGGTGTTTGAAAGTACTGTGGTTCAATACGTGATGACTAAGGGAATCAATTTATTTGTCTCAAATGATCAGTTAAGCCACATACACTTAAGAGACTCAGAGTAAAGTCAGCTCCTCATACTTGATCTATATAATAAAGATGATTTTTTTCCTAAATATAATGTAAAGGTTGTATTTTTTAAGGGCTGGGTTCAGATGTGATTCTGCTCAACTATGACTGGAAATTGTTAGAAGATTGTTTTAATGTTCCCATTTGACAAGATGAGGAACTGATGCAACTTCTGTTACAGGCAGACCAGTGTTCTTGTACATAGAAACCTACATTTTGGCAAGAGGGACACCCCAGAGGCTCTCAAAATACCATAAATTTTGCATCTTGTTGGACCACCTTAGTACATAAAATAATTGCCATAGTAGCAAGAGTCAGAACTACTTTCCAGAGTATATTAAATTTCCCTTCATTGCTTTCTCTTGCAAGAAAACAGCTTTGTTTCTTTAGTAAAATTGAAAACTGTGCTGTTCTCTTATCTGTTAATGTAACTTTTGAACATTAGAAATTTTAAGAGCAAAAAATGTATTATTTTGCTTCCCCCTGATATTGAGACAATGTAATGGTTGCTTATATTACACTCTTTCCGCTTTGTAGAGATGGTCAGCAGCCAGCCTCTTCCCATATCAGACAACAGCAAAAGGAAAAAGAAAAAAAAGTCCAGAGCTACAGACCATTTTCCTGGAAGGTTTGAAGGTTAGTTTCATAGTCTACCTGGTGTCTTGTTGATTCTCACAATAGCCTCAGGTTAAGCAGTTGCGACAATGTTACAGTTTGGCTTATAGTGAAACTCTGTTTTGGCAAACGGCTTTTGAAACTGCTTTTCTTGAGTTGTGTATGGTGCTTTGTGTATAGCATAGGTTCTGTTTTAGTCTTGGCTTTCTTTCAGGGAGAGCAAAATATCAACATTGCTGACCTTATTATATCACTTGGAGAGCATTCCTGGCCTTTAGATAGCATCTGGGGGGAGGGGGGAGGATGCCGCAGCTCTCTTTTGGCAGAGCTACAAGCAAGAAGTAGATTCAGTTGTTATCTTCCCTCTTGCTCTTATTATCTTATTCTTTCATTTTTAAATGGAGCAGTGAAGGCAAATTGTCCTGCTGGCAGGACATAGGATAGGTGGAGGATGCTGACCTCTGAACCCTCTGTTTATCAGGAGTGTATCCAGTACATTTGTACTCAAATGAGTCCATTTCTTCAGTGGAATTATAATTTGAGAGAAAGCGAAGTTAGTATTTCAGGCTGCAATTGTAGATATGCATACTTGAACATAAGCTATATTTTAATTTTGGGAGGATGATTTCTCAGTACCATGAAGTCCACGGAGTTCACTTTCCAGATTGTGGCTCATGTGTTAGACCTGTTCATTTATTTGAGGTTTATTTCCTTGACAAACTGTTCTAGCTGCAGATGTTCTTAAGATGTTAACATTAAACTGCTATTGCCTCAAAATTTCCATGGAGAATAAACTAGAGTAAGCTTGAAATATTTTTAATATCAATTAAGCGTGTTTGTTTGAATTTTGTGCTATCCAATAAGTGAAGTTCTCTGGGTAGTTAACAGTAGTAATAAATACAGTAAAATATAAAATACAGTATAGTCAAAGAACAATGTAACTCCATAAAATTACATTTAAAAATGCAAAGGCACATTTTTATACTGAATACTGGCAGGACTGCTGAAAAACAGCTGGTAATGCACATACCATGTGCTATTTTTGGCTCTGGCCTCTTGGCAGAGCAGCAGAGGCACAGGCTGGGAGAGAGGGCTGAGTGGCCAGGGGACTGGCGAAGGTAAGGTAGGAGCTGGGCAGGGGAGTGGAGGGAAGGAGCAGCGGAGAGGAAGGGGGCGGGGCCAGAGAGGCTAGAGGGGCCAGGAGGGAACAGACAGGCGGGGCCACCGGCCTGAGGGACTGATAAGGCTGCACTTAGCCACTGCAAGCCCTTTTGGCTCTGGCCTGTTGGCGTCGTCCCTTGTCTGCGTCCCTTAGCTGCATTCCAGGCTGTCCGGAGACTCCCTTCCCTGAGACACAGAGGTTTGTTTGTTTTGTTTTGTTTTGTTTGTGCTGTGCTGTGCTTTGTTTTGTTTTTCTTCCAATTTAAATTTAAGTTTATTTTATCCTTGTGTGTGTGTGTGAGTGGGTTTTTGTCTGGGAGAACTGGGCAAGTGAAAGGAACTGCAGGACAAACAAGGCAGGGGACCAGGGTAAGGTCTTGGAAGGGATACCGATGGCAGACCAGGAGATGGCCTTGGCAGGAGTCATGGGTGTTGCTGTCCGCTGCGATAGCTGCGACATGTTCGCCCTTCTCCCCCAGGAGAGGCAAGGATACACTTGCCCTCGGTGCAAGAAGGTGACCCTGCTAGAAGAGGAGGTGAGGTGCCTGAGGGCCGAGAGAGCTCTCCAGGCCCCCCCGGAGCAGCTCCCCTCTGGACAGAGGGTTGAGGGAGAGACCACGGGAGGAGCAGCTGCGGAGACATGGAGGTATGTCACCCACAGAGGAGGAGGCCAGCAAGGCCTCCTCCTGGCACCAGTCTGGAGCTGGGAAACAGGTTCTCTCCACTTGGGGAGGCTCGGGCTGATGAGGCCTTGGGGGACAGGCAGCAAGTGGGCTGCTGCAGGAGAGGCGAGGGCCAGGGCATGGCCGCCCGCCAGCACCGGGAAGGTACGGAGGCGGGTGATTGTTGCTGGGGACTCCCTGCTGAGGGGCACTGAGGCGGCAATGTGCCGCCCCAACCTGGAGACAGCGGAGGTTTGCTGCTTGCCAGGCGCACGCATCTGGCATGTGAAGGACAGAGTGGAGCGTCTTGTTCGCTCCGGGGGTCACCAGCCGCTTCTGGTGATCCATGTGGGCACAAACGATGTGGCCAGGCAGGGTGTGGTTGGGACCACCAGGGACATTGAGACCTTGGGGAAGAAACTCAGGAAGCTGAAGGCCCAAGTGGCCTTCTCGTCAATCTTACCTGTCCGGGGATTTGGGCCAGGAAAGGACAGGAGGGCCTCCGAGGTGAACAACTGGCTTAGGGAGTGGTGCCAGAAGGAACGCTTCGGGTTCCTCGACCACAGCACTCGTTTTCTTGCCAGTGGACTTCTGGCAAGGGACGGGTTACACCTCACGAGGATGGGGAAAAGGTCCTTTGGAAATGCTCTAGCGAGCTTCATCTGGAAGACTTTAAACTGAGCCCCCCAGTAACGTGTCTGCACTGGGCAAGTGTGTGGGGAGGATCAGAGCTCTGGGAGCAGAGTTTTAGAGATATTGCAGGGACTGACAGGACTCCTACAGAGAGGGGCCAGGTATCAGGGAGGATGGGAGGAAGGAGGAGGCTGGGAACTACAAGGAAGGGAAGCAGTGGGAACCAGTTGAGGTGCATGTACACCAATGCTAGGAGCATGGGTAATAAGCAGGAAGAGCTTGAAGCTCTCCTGGGAATAGGGGGGTATGATCTGGTGGGAATCACAGAAACTTGGTGGGATGAAAGGCAAGTCTGGAATGTGAACATAGAAGGGTATCACCTTTTTAGAAAGGACAGGAAGGGAAAGAGAGGTGGGGGCGTGGCTTTATACATCAGGGAAGGGATAGGATGCAGTGAGATAGAATGCAGCACAGATGGGGATTCAGTAGAGGCAGTCTGGGTGAAACTTAGGGGTTTTGACAGGGAAAGAGACCTGACAGTGGGGGTATGTTATCGCCCTCCAGGTCAACTTGAGACCCTGGATGATGTCCTGACAGGCCAGATTCTAAG